TATTCTGACTTGGAACGAGTGTGTCAGAGGCATATGACTCACACTTCTTCGAGCCTGTTTGTCCGCAAAGTGCCAACACGAGGATGAAGTTATAGCGCTGTTGATTACTTCATCAGTGCCAGCAGCGTCGTAGAGCGGTTTCGTAGGCTTATTATGAAATCGCTAATGTGTCGGCATCTGCTAACAAAAATATGAGCTCTTCGCATATGTTTTTGTTACAAAGGTCTATGTCAGCAAAAGTGATCCTCTTCGCAATACCGAATGCTTGAGCTAGACAAATCTAAGTTATATTGAAGTAGTATTTGTCTAATATTAGTTGCTCAATTTTGTCAAGGTTCTTTCATAGTAACGGGATGTTGGAACTACGTTTCTAAGGTGATGGGATTTTACAAACCTGTTTCTACGCCATTTCTTTGACTTTTTTCGAGATAGGCATTGAGTGGCATTTCGTGCTGAAAGCGAAAAAAAAAACGATTCTAAGTCAAGTGGATACATAGAGCCTTTGACCGTAATTTAATTTGCTGGCAGGAGCCCCGCAAGACCGGTAATTTGTGATTGTTTCCTTAGCTTTGTTTTTCGCTGTAAAGTCACTTAGTCCTTGCTTTTCCGTTTTTGAAAAACTACTACCAAAGGACTACAAGTGATATGCTGTCTTTGAAAAGTTCCCTGCTCAGCAAATCCCCTTGGAATCTTCTTAGAAGGAGTGTCGATGCTCAAGCGCGGGATATTCCTTCAAGGCAATCTACTGTAAGGTTCTGTAGCTTTGATAAGGTTTTTTTAATAGCTCTCGAACTTAGTTCTATTTTCTACATCTGTGTGAAGTATGGAGCATGAATTTCCATGAAATTTGAATTCGGATAGAAGAGGAAAGTCTTGGAACAATTCGGACGCTTCGTTTCCCCACCTAGCATTCTCACCTTGCGTCAATAGAAGTATTTCAGCATGCCTTCGTATGCAAGTGAATGAGGAGAACAAGTCGGAGTTCTCGCACATCTCTCCCGAACGAGCTTTCGCGGATTTCATATTTGCCCACGTTGTCCTTCATCTGGTCGTTGCCAATTTCCTGGGTTAACTTTACTTTTTCATCAATAAATATTCACGAGTAACAAAAATCTGTGACTTTAAAAGAATTATGGGCTATTTGTGGATTTACCCTGTTAGTATGCTTCATGGCCGATTTTGTTGTATGTCGTATTAGTTATTTATTTCTTTACTTGGTTGTTATGTCTTTGGAAAATTTTATAATGGTTTTGGAAATAAACTATTTATCAAGTTGTGTAAATCAATGTGATTCGCGTTCATTCGCAATGATTTACTGTATCGTCTATGAGCAAGCAGCAAGTTTGTTATTTATGGTGCACTGGTGTGCTGTCAGTCTCAATTAATTAACTTTTTTCTTTAGAAGTGACAAGATGTACATGAAACCGATGCGCCTTATCAAAAACTCGCTTATG